CCCAAAAAAGCCTATGAAAAGGTACCAACAGCATCTCATGGGGCCCCCTACTGACCCCCCGGGCCCTCGGGCAGCGCCCGAGTTCCCAAATGGTCAGTCCGCCCCTGCTCAAGTTAACCAATGGATAATGAAGTTGCTAAATTTGGTATAGCAATCTAGTCTTGAAACTAGACTTGAATGACCTAAGATCATAATAGAGTTAAAAAAAAAAAGTGGGCACAACTTTTCTGTAGGGTAGAGTGAACAGCAATGTGATGTGCCTGTGTTTTACACAGTAGTCATAAGGATCAGATATTTGCATCTGCATGTGTTTTTACTGCATGGTAATGTCTAACTCCACCTATGTTAACATGCTACACTTGTATTTAGGGTGTAACATATTGCTAAGCAGTCATCGCTTGGAATGTACATAACATAATCACAGTATAAATAAAACACACTTAAAGTGGTTGTAAACCTTTGAAAGCAAAAATTAAACAAAGCATACCCTCCTATAAAGTGTACTTGCCTCAATCCATAGCACTTAGTATGGATCCTGGCTGCTCTCTTCTTCCTATTCAATCTGCGTCTATCAGCTCTGACGGTTTTCACCAACAGACAACCTATGGTAATGACCCTACTCCTCTCTATGTACAACAGATCATTGAAAGGCTCAGATGTTTCCAGTAAGGCTGTGTAGTGGGCGGTGTGCCTATATCCTCCATTCAGGTATCAGATTACACTCAGCTATGTGTCCTGTGCAGTGTGTGATGTGAGATCTCCACCCCTGCCTTCTGGAAGCCAGTACTGTGTACTTTATAGGGCTCTGTAGGAGATAGGACTGCAGATAAACAGGTAGAGTTTTATGTGGGAGGATTTGCATCATCACTTTGTATCACCTGAGACTTGTCACTTCAGTGGGCTCATGTTAGCGTTTATAACCACTTTAAATTAATTTTCCAAATAATGCTGTTTAAATTCAGCATATTTTATATTGATTATGCAGCTGCTTAAAACTGAACTCCAGACAGATATAAGAGACACACAATGTTGCAGCTTTGTAATTATAAATACCTGAATTTGACTTGCTATCAGTCCCTTGCAGAGCAAGAAGCATGCTGATAGGAGTAGAGAGCATAGTGACAGAGAGACGAGCACAGCACTGTTCTGTTTTTGTTACTTTCCAACCATAGGGTGGAGAGGATGACCTGTAAGTGATGCCTCAGTCCTGTATCAAATGTGCTATATATCTTTATTCTATGAGAATACTGAACAGTGCGAATAACAAAAGAAGGGAAAAATAAATAATAAAAAGAGAAAACAAGAAAGAGAAAACAAGAAATATTATACAATGGTTCTTGATCAACTAACTTAATAAAGTTAAGCTGACGGGTACATAAAGTGTAGATAGATAATGGCTACATCCATTGGAGAACTTAACATTTCACAATTATCTTGTCTATAATTGAGGTCATTTCACCTTTGTAAACAATAATTCCATGTTCCATTCTTTTTACAGACTTGTGTTTACCATTTTAGAAATTGGAATTGCACTAAAAACAATTTCTGCAATTCATGATATTATCAGATATTACTGTCGCATCATTTTGCAGCTAATTTACAAGTAGTCAGTCTTGATTGCATCTTCATCTGATCCAATTGCTTTTAGTTGGGAAATAAATATGCTGCCTGTTATTCTTGATGATATGCATGAAGCAAATGGATCTAAAATTTCATTGTTGAAAACACAATTGCTTTGAGCATATTTTGAATAGATTATTTTGTGCATCCATTTCAAATAATGTTATGATAAGAATTTAAGTAGAATGTTATCAGAGTTCTACACTGAAACATATCAAAACTGTTTCCCTAACATATATCAGCTTTCAGGGCTTGTCCTTTCACTGCTTTTAAAATCAGCTGTTTTATAACTTTACACATTGTTTGCTGTCAATATTGCAGCTCCTTTTTCTTTTCTTTTTCTTTTTTTTTGTGGTGGTGGTGGTCAGGATAAAGTAGTAATCAAAGTTTCACATTCTGTGGTAGGGCACTGGCTACACTGGCCTGTCTTCTACAGTATCTTGATTTTTATTTTATTATTTACCCAGAACCAACATTTGTTGTCTGGTTGTTAAAGGAAACATACATACTCTACAATGCTCTTCTTTTTTTGTACAAAAGTATTTTTTTTTTTTCATTTTGAGTATTTTGTTTATCTAATTGCGTGTAAAGCTGTATACCACTTTATAATGGTAACAAATATATGAAAATATGTAGTTTGCTAAGAATAGAAATAATCAAGATTTAAAAAAAAAAATAAAATCATCCAATATTGATCATGATGATCCAACTATAGAATTAATTGGGTCCAGGGTGCTCCAAGTTTGATTGTTCTTTTCAAACCAGCCTATGTAGGCTCAGAGTTTGCAACATGACTAGTGTGAACTACATTTTACCTTTTTTGATAATATCCATTCATCCATGCTTGTGAACCAAATGGTTTTCCTAATGCCCATGTGCACTGGGCCAGTGAGTTCTAATACAGATCGCAGAAAATTTCAAGCAGCTTGTAGTTGCAAAAAATAAAATATCACAAAGATAACATGAAACAAGGGAGCCTAAAATAAGCATTTCTACTGACACTGTGAAATAGTTGAAGTAGAACTAAAAGGCAAACACTTTTTTTTGGGGATAAAATAAGCAAAGGTTATAACCACTGTCATGTCATGTTCCACTGGGTAGATTACCTCATTGCCAAAAAAGTGAAATGAGAGAAAGTCCCACCAAAGTGAGTGACTTTAGTTGTGACCAGAACTAGTGTCCCCATTGGAAGATTTACCATTGTTTGTAGATGCTATAATTTTCATGCAAACCAATTCACTGTTCAACAAATTTTTATTTTTTGCCAGTTTTGGAAACAAAAGGATCCATTTCTTAATGAATTTCACATTCTGAGTTCAAATATAACAATGAAATTTGTCAATTGGCTCTAGTTTTTCTGTAAACGGAAAGTTTTCTACTATAGGCGTAATGACTACATAATGCACAATAATTATATAGATAGATGTCTTTCCACAAATATAAAGCAAGTGATATTGACTACATAACAAAGCCTAAATGGCATAATATATTGCATAGGATTACCAAGAAAAATTATAGCCATAAGCTAAGTTGAATCATTTTAATACTTAGGATTCTCACTAGTTTTGTCTTCAGTTTGTGTCGGTTTTGCTTCTCTTGGCTTTTCTCTTGTATTCGAGGAAAGGGCTATCTCTTACAACTGCACGTGACTACACGCTTCAGGTTCTTCCTCACTTGACTCAACCACGAAGGATTCTGGTGCTTTAGGAATTGGTAGCCCCTCTCCCCATGAGGAACTGGACGTATTGCCGATGGAATATTTGGATAGTGCACAGATAACTTTTTCTTCTTATTTAGCCCTTTTACAATTGGAGGCACCATACAAAAGTAACAATTACTAACATGATCTGTTGGCTCTCTCCAAATCATTGGCACAGCGAAAGGCATAGATGCCTTTTTTCCATTCAACCCATGCTCCAGTGCCGTCCCACAAGAATTGCAGCATATATGTGGTGCCCAGCTCTTGTCCTGGTCTCCTATCTTGCAGCCAAAATACAAGTTGTAGGCTTTCTTAATCATTCCTGTTATCCTCCTTTTTTGTGAGATAAAAGTTATTTCACCGCAGATATAGCAGAAATTATCTGCTTTATTCACACAAGTTCGAGGCATTACTGAGTAGCCTCTATAAGCATAAAACGAAATGTAAAGACGCTGTCGAACTACAATCAGCTACAGATACTGCAGCTTTTATGCAGTGAAGTGATGCAATTAAAGGCTAATATTGCATCATCTCAGTATAGATGCAATTTTTTATTGGTCACCAGTATCAATTGCGCAATATGCAGCTGAAGTTGCATCATAATTTTGAATGGCTTACGTCATTAGATGGGTGAATATATCATGGAAACTAGAGCCAATCAACATTTTTTAGGGTCATTTTCATTTTCAGCACCCCAAAATTATGTAAGATTAGCTAATTTTATGCCCAAAACTTTTTACCTGTTGAACAGTTATTATACACTTTTATCGCCGTCACTAGTATAAGAGAAAAAAATTTCAGTATCTTTACCATTGTTTGTAGATGCTATAATTTTCATGCAAACCAATTAATATACACTTTTATTGGGATTTTGTTTTTCCCCCCAAAGACATGTAGCAGAATACATTTTGTCCTAAATTTATGAAGTAATTTTATTTTTTATTGGATTTTTATTTTTTCGTTTAGTATTCGGTATTTCCGCTTATCGTGCAAAAAATAAAAAAAACCCAGTGGTGATGAAATACCATCAAACGAAAGATCTATTTGTGTGAAAAAATTATATAAAGTTAATTTGTGTACAATGTTGCATGACTGTGCAATTGTCAGTTAAAGTAGCACAGCGCCGTCTAGCCAAAAAAAAAATGGCCTGGTCATGAAGGGGGGTAAATTTTCCAGAGGGCAAGTGGTTAAGCACATGTTGTCAGCCCTGACTACTTCATTTCTGACCTTTCCTCATCTCCATAACCCCTGCTACTGCAGGGGCAGGGAGTGCAGGAAGTTATCAGCTCACAAGATCTCTGGAAAAATCCGCAGGTATTTTTTACACTTATCGAACACACATGACAAAACACTTTGAATGGTATATTTAGCAAACCAAAAGGGAGCAAATAAGGGATGTTCATATTAGGATTTATATACACTTTAATACAGTTAAAATGTTTGTTGTTGTCTTAAACCATTTGATAATTTTTTTTAGGTCAACAGCTAATTGAACGTATTTTTTAATGAATTAAAATTTTGCCATGTTTGATCAGCATTAGGGTTTTATTAGGAAATCAATGTAACAATAAACCAACAATAACAATAAACCATTTTGATTAGTAAATGTTACACCTCAGTTAATAATAAGTGTTGTGGCTGTCAAAGTATAGTCATATTCATATTATTTACTTATTTTCAGGCATATACGTATCCATACAGGAGAAAAACCATTCAAATGTGAAGAGTGTGGAAAGAGCTTTACAGTTAAGTCAACACTGGATTCCCATGTTAAAACTCATGGAGGTTAGTAATAAGCTTGTTATTGTATTGTTGAGTATATGACACGTGCACAAGGATGTCTTACAAGGATAAACATGCTGCTGTTTATTTTTAAGTTCTAACACTTTCAGTCTTGAAATGAGTGGGGGAAATAGGTGATAAAACAGATTCTGTTACAGTGACTGTCCCTGATGGTTTGAAGAGGTTTATTAATAATAGATGGCAAAGTATGTCAGGAAAAGTCATTTTAGAAGAGGTCAAGTTGTGTTTAGAAGTTTGTTTTGAAGCTTGTATAGGTGGAGGAATGCATACTGAGGAACAGTAGCATTAAGTGAGTTTCAGATTATGTTCCTTTTTGAAAATATGAACCATAAAGGTAAGAAAAGAGATGTTGTGAACAGGAAACTGTAATCCATATTTATCAAGAGTCTGAGTAAGGAACGATGATTATTCCTTTCGTTATCCAGACACAGTATGGAAGAATCTGGTTGTTATGAGCAACAAATACAGATCAATCATCAGACACTTTAAAAATGAAACCTTTAGTTGTTTATCTTTTTTGGGTTTTTTTTGGATATTCTTTTTTTTATTAGAACAATGGTTAGATTGTCGCCTTATTTATAAAACAAAATAGCGATGGAAGTTCTTAAAATGTTTTCTATATAACCTCTGAAACACTTGACTGAGGCCTTTACTTAGTGTTGGGACCCTTTCACACTAAATGGACAGCTGCTGCACAGTTATGCCACATCAGTTTACCTGTGCGGCAGCTGTCCATTCCGGCATGTGCGGTCTGTCTAGGTGCACTAGCGTGCGGGTGCTAGGACCTGGGCGCCCACGGCGGCCGCGCACATCGTGGACGCGTGCCTGGCACCAATGAGTGCACAGGGCGCACTATTTAAACAGACTCTGGCAAAACTCAAATTGCCATATGGTCTTTCCTGCTTTTCCTGTTATTCTGTGTTCCTGAGAGATTGCTAGTTGCCGAGCCTGCCTGACCCTGATCCGTTGACCGTCTCCTGCTCTGATCTCTGGCTCGTCCCTGACTACTCTTCTGCCTACTCCTGAATTATTTGACCTCCTGTTGCCGAACCTTTGCTCGTGACCCGGCTACTCTCTGCCTGCTGCCCTGTACCGTTCTGCCTCTGCTGTTGCCGACCTGGCTTGTCTGACTCCGCTATACTCCATACTGTCATCCACCCATCCATCCATCCTGCTCGGATCCAGTCGCTACTGTCCAGGGCCTGCCAGCCTCTTCACATCAGGCTCTCCTCCTGTACATACCTCCGGCGGTCCTCTCTACCACGGTTGGGAGTACCCAGGGGCCACAACCTGGTCTCAGTTCTGTTCCAAGTCCATCCCCACCATCAGGGGCTCTGGTGAATAAGAAGACTGGGGCTTAGACTCCGCATCCTGGGGAATCCCGTTCTGTGGTTCACTAGAGATACCGCTGGGCGGTACCTAACAGTAAGCTTATCGTACTATACTTTAATACAAAATTGTCAGTCGTCGGATAGTACTGGGGGTTTATACTAATGAAATTAGATATTATTTTTCTTTCATTGTAATTAAATAAAAGCGCACTGCAGAGATCAGTTTTCACTTTAACATAAAAGAAGCTATTTGTGCTGATAAATTCAACAAAACTGGATTTTTTCGACATACTTACCTGTAAAATCCATTTCTTGGAGTATATCACAGGACACAGAGCAGGTTATTCATGACTATGTGAGTTATATGCCACCTATAGGTGAATGGACACTGGTCAACCAAGCAGAGAGGAAGTCCTCCCCTATATAACCCCTCCTACACGGAACTTTTTTTGTAGCAAGCAATGAAATTCCAGAAAGAGGGGAAGGACCTCTGTGTCCCGTGATGTACTCCAAGAAATTGAGTAAGTATGTCGAAAAAAAATCCAGTTTTCTTTATCGTACATCACGGGACACAGAGCAGGCTATTTATGATGTGGGATGTCCCAAATCAATAAAGAAATATGAGGGGAGGGTGACACCTTGACAGCCATCATCAATAATCCCTCAGGACTTACTCAGCTGTCCTGGTAGAGTGTGCCTTCACCTGAAATGGTGGGACCTTACCTTTCAAACCATAGGCTTGAATGATCAATTGGCGGATTCGATGTGAAATAGTTACCTTGGATGCTGCCTGCCCCTTCCTAGGCCTCTCTGGCAGCATGAATAGAGCATCTGACCTCAACCTGTGCTGTCACCTTCAAGAAGATCCTTACAGCGTGTACCACATCCAGGGTATGCAGAGATCTTTCTCTTGCTGACTGAGGCCCAGTAAAGAATAAAGAAAGAACGATGTCCTGATTGAGATGAAAACTAGAAATCAGCTTTGGTAAAAAAAAAAAGTTGGTTGAAAGTGCTACCCCACCTGATCATGATGCAAAGCAGAAATGGTTCTTTGCAAGAAAAAGCTGCCAGCTCCAACACCCTTCTTGCAGAAGTGATTGCCACTAGAAACAAAACTTTACGAGCCAACAGGACCAGTGGAATCTCTCTAAAAGGTTCAAATGGTGGTTTTTTGCAAAACCTCCAAACCCAAGCTCAGGTCCCAAGGACACAAAGGTAACCTGACAGGAGGAGCAATACGCATTACTCCCTGTAAAAAAGTGTGAGCAAAGAGTGAGATGCAATGGACCTCTGGATAAAAACAGCTAATGCTGAAAGGTGCCCTTAATGGTACCAACCAATTTCCTCTCCAACCCTGTTTGAGGAAACAACAGAATCCTACCAATCAAATACTTTCGTGGGTGTCATTTCTGGACCTCGCACCAGGAAATGTAAGCCCTCAAAGGTCTGTAATAAATGTTCCTATAAACTACCTTTCTAGCCCTCAACGTGATGGGAATGACAGAATCTGATACTCCCCTATCATTTAAGATCTGGGTTTCAATAGCCATGCTGCCAAATTTAGCGACCATAAATCTGGGTGCAATATAGAACCTTGAGACAGAAAGCCTGGCCGACATGGCAGGGACCACGGCCTGTCTGCTGCCATCTTCATTATGTCCACGTACCAGGGCCTCCTGGGCCAGGCCAGGGCAATCAGTATCACTGGAATAGACTCCTACCGAATCCTGCGTAAGAGACGTGGCAGCAGCTGAATCAGAGAAAAGGCATAAATCAGCAAAAACTGGCTCCAAGGAATCCCTAAGGCATCTATGCCATGCGAGGGTCCCTTACCCTGGGCACAAAAAGACTGACCTTGCTGTTGAACCTGGATGCCAAAAGATCTACGTCAGGGCAACTCTATCATTGGCAAAAAAAAAATTTGGGATGCAAAGCCCATTCCCATTCAACCGCCAGCGACTGAGATAATCCGCCTGCCAATTTTCCACCCCCCCAGAATGAACACCGCTGACAAATTTGGAACATATCTCTCTGCCCAGGTCAGAATTTAATTCACCTCTTCCTGAGCCCCTCGACTCCAGATACTGCCCTGGTGGTTGATGTAGGTTACTGCTGTGGCATTGTCAGACTGAATCGTTACAGGCCAAACCTGAAGTCTGGATGATGTCTAGTACCTCAGAGCCAGCCTCACTGCCCAAAGTTCTAAGACATTGATGGGCAGAACGCTTTCCCGTGGAAACCATGTTCCCTGAACTGTGGCCTCCTCCAGGTCAGCCCCATAACCTGAGAGGCTGGCATCGGTGGTTACCAATTTCCACACTACTGGCTGAAAGGATTTTCCTCTCTCCAAATTGTGAGTCATCAACCACCAATTCAGGCTTCACAGTACCTCTGGAGACAGGGACATACAGTACAGTAATCCAGGGCCGGAACCGTTTTGTTTCAAACGGTCAGAATGTTCCTTTGCAGTGGTCTGGAGTAGAATTGGGCATAGGGAATAGCCTTGAATGAGGACACCATCTTTCCCTACAACCTCATACAGAGGCGAATTGAAGGATGCCTTTTGGCTTTTGAACTGCAAAACTCGTTCCTCAGGGCGCAACGTTTTCCTGGAGGCAGAAATACCTTTGCCTGAACCGTGTCTTGGACCATCCCCAAATACTCCAGGCTCTGTATTGGCTCCAGGTACGATTTCTTGAAGCTGAGCACCCAGCCCAGCTGTTCCAGGATCTGCATCGTAAGGACCACATGCTGCTTCAGACCTGGCACCGACCAACCTCTGAGCAACAGATCGTCTAAATGACCGATACCCCCCAAGTTCTGAGAAGCCCCAACACCAGAGCAAGCATTTTAAATAAAACTCTGGGAGATGTAGCTAGCCCAAATGGTAGTGCTTTGAACTGGAATGAATATCGGCACATGTAGGTATGCATCCTTGATGTCTATGGACACTAAAAAAAAGTGAAGAGGTTAAATCTCATTTGCCACATAGTTGCCCAATTAAACAGTGCATTGAGGTCGCCTTGTAAGTTGAAGACATCCTGTAAGGACGTTATTCCACTGCACAGCTTGGTGTCATCTGCAAAGACTGAAATTCATCGGTAAATATGATTCTGAGGTTTACAACCACTTTGAATTGGAGAATTGCCTCTGTCGGAATCCCTTCTTTACATTAATAAAAAATAATCGAAGTGAGCTATATGTAATTGTAATACAGATGTTGGAATTAGAGTCAGAGAAGTGAAACAATACTTTAAGATCATATCTGATAATCTTTTCTAAGGAAATTATTTTGATCAACACATTGAAGAAGAAAGCTCATGTTATTAAAAAAAAAGCAAAGGTTTCATTCTGTTTCAGTAGTATTTTATGAGTTGATCTATTAGACATGGATGTCAATGGTTATTTTTATAATAATTTGCAATACATTTGTATTAAAATTCTGACCGTTCTTTACATTGCCTTTTGATCTTTAAATATTAGCTACATTATTTAAAGGATTTTTTGTGTTCTATATGTAGTATGTAACTTCAGCTTTTTTTCCTGGCAATGAGTATCAACATAATGGAAAGAATCGACACGACTGTTGAGTTTTTTTCAGGTTTATAGTGGTGGAAAATTATGTTTTTGCTGAACTGATCCATCATAAATATAGACTGAACATGGAGCATATAACCCAGTCTTATTCCAGCTCACACACTGTTAGTGGCCCCTTATGTGACTTCTCTCCCTTGCCTTACAGTATTATGTGCAGATTCCTCTTACCTTACCATAAATCAGTTAGAAGTGGCAGCAGCCAGGCATGCAGCAGGTGAACTCCGTGATTGACAGATGTGGAAGGTTCTATACCACAAAGCGGGTATAGCACAACATCCTTTAGTATATAGAACACACAAAAATGTGGGACTTTTAAGGTGCACAAATCACACAAATCATCAGGAATTAATAAAAGGTATAGATAACTATATATATATATATAAGTAACATTAGTTTCTTCAGTATTGCATATAAAATTATTGTGATTAAAAAAACACTCATTAGTTGAGTGCATAGTACTGTACAGTCACCACCCCCTATTCATTCAATACATTCATACCAGGATGATTGGCAAAAAAGCACATGTGATACCGTATTTATGGCAGTGGACTTTGACGTATTGGTCAAGCATTGTATTGCTGAAGCAAAGTGTGTGTTTGTGTGTGTGTGTGTGTGTGTGTGTGTGTGTGTGTGTGTGTGTGTGGGTGGGCTCACATCTCAACATGTATCGTGGACAAAGCTTCTTCAGGAGACTGCAAGGTGCTAACCATAAGGCTCCATTCACACTTGTGTGACTTCAAAATTGTGCCTTTACATTGTGACTTTACAGTGCAACTTGATGTGACTTTGGTTGAGTGTGAATTTGGCTTTGACCAAGTATGATTGTTTGTGCTCTACAAAGTAGCACACAAGTCGCATGTATATCATTCAGGTGCGACTTCTATGCAACTTTTGAGGATTTACATTGAAGTCTATGGCCCTCAAGTCACATGAAAGTTGGACCAAAGTAGTGCAGGAACTTGTCATATGACTTTGAACTCCAAAGTCGCACAAGTGTGAATGGAGCCTAAAAAAGACGAATGTTCAAACAGTCCCTTCATAGTTCACATGCAGTCCATAGCGTGTTTATAGCACAATGCTAATCAAAATAACTTCTACATACATACTTATGGAAGCGGAATATTGTCAACAATTAATGTGTAAACAATATAAAAAAAACATATAAAAGTGTGTTTTCATTCATTTTATTTTTTTTAAATGTTTCATTAAATAATTTCTTGGATATTTTTCAGGTCAAAAACTCTTTAACTGTCATGTCTGTGCTAATTCCTTCTCAACTAAAGGCAGTCTTAAAGTACACATGCGCCTGCACACCGGTGCAAAACCTTTTAAATGTCCTCATTGTGACATGCGATTCCGGACATCTGGCCGTAGGAAAACTCACATACAGTGCCATTATAAATCAGATTCTAAAAAGGTCAGGAAACCAGTTGTGCGCAGACACCTTCCTCAAGCTACAGTCTCTGCAACCAATACTTCTTCCAGCGCAGTGGAATCTCTTCAGCCAATAAACCTGCTAAACACATCTGCTACAGACCCAAGCGTCTTCATCACAAACAGCTCGGTGCTTTCCAGCCAGTTTGATCAGAGTTTACTTCAGCAGGGACTGGTTGGTCAAGCCATTCTTCCTGCATCTGTATCAGGTATTACTGATGTCGAGAGCACATGAACAGTGGTTAAAGTGTTTAGATGTAGGATGGTGGGTCTTACAACAATCACTATATCTTCCTAGGTTCACGTTGCTCTTACATATTTCTTAGCTTCTATAATAGCAGCTAATAGTTGATCTTTCAGATACACTGAAGTATTGGAGTAGATAGTAGATGAGCATCGTAGTACATATGTTTTATTATTGCTCGATTATCTGTACTCTAATAAGATCACAAAATGATATAATGGGTTTACGTATGTATGTGTTCCTAATTATGTGTGTGTATTACAGCTGAACATTTCTGAGCTGGGTATTAGTTTTTACTAAACATTTAGGTAGCCTGTTTGTTGGTGTACTCAGGCAATGCCTTTTTGCTTTTCCTATTGCCTTTTAACTGGTGCTGCCACCAAACACTCAAAGCTAACAAACACTAATACATGCTCCCTGTAGTGATCACTAAATCATATGAGCACTGCCAGCTTGACTATGTGCATATTATAATAAACAGAGCATGGGTGCTTAGAGCAACACCTTTTAAAGCAAAACCATGAAACAAAAAAAAAGTGTGATTAGTTACACAATAGTTGACCAGTTTTTTGAAAAGTGACAAAGTAAATATAAGCCTACAAAAAGATAGCAAACAAATGAATAAATATATACTTTTTTTTTGTCAATCACAGATTATGGTACTGTTGTACATTTAAGGGTAGTAAGGTCAGGGAGCATTGGGACTAAACATAATTAAAAGGAATATTTTATGTAAGTTATATTTTGTATTTCCTTCTTATATTTTACAGCTGGTGGGGATTTAACAGTGTCACTGTCAGATTGTAGCTTGGCCACTCTGGAAGGAATTCAGCTACAGCTGGCGGCCAACCTGGTTGGACAAAATGTTCAGATTTCTGGAATTGATGCCACAGGCATTAACAATATTACACTGCAGGTAGCAACATTCCCAAGAAATTAAAGTAGCAGTGATATTTTGTATTCCTGAATTTAACAATCTATACATATATATTTGTCTTTCTTGCCATTGTATCACTAGATTGATCCCAGCTTATTACAGCAAACTCTGCAGCATAGCAATATTATACCTCAAGCTCTAACTGGAGACTCTGGTGCAGTACAATCTACCGGCACTCTGCAGACAAGTGATAATGCTGTGCCAGCAAATGTTGTACTTCAGCCTATAGCAAGCTTGTCTCTGCAACCTGGCACAGCATCCTCTTCCAACCTGACCATTACACCTATCAATGAACAAGAATCAGTGTTGAGTTCCAGCAGCACAAGTAAGTTTTCAATATATTTTTTCATTACATCTCCTTTACAATTTTTTTTCTGATTTGAGTGGCGGACACAAATTACAAAGAGCTCCAGTGCATAAAATCTGTTTGGGCCATCCTTTGATACTCCTCATTCTTGCTCTGTTTATGTGTAAACAATCTTGTTATGGTGACAACCATTTTAGTTACTCACAGGCATCTACAAGATGCTCTAATTACACCTCAGTTAACTCCGATGATCATTCATGGAAGGTAGAACCCTCCTATATCCTTATGCACTTCTTTGCTAGCACAAACAGTAAATCTTGGAGAAAAATTCAAACCTGGACCCAAGTGTTTGAATAATGGTTCTTTCTCTGACATTAAGAGAATCTTGTTTGCATTGCCAGCAGGGTTGTCAGCCATTCGTTAATTCACAGATAGTTGGTAAAAATGTATGATTTTTACTGCTGTCCATGAATGTATATTACGGACATCCGTGTCAATAATAATGCAGACTCTACAGTTGCTTCACCACCCACTGCCTTCTCAGCCAACCAGCACAGCACTGTAACCCACCCTCTTCTCCAGATTGCCACATTTGACTTAAAAGAGAAAATGCTGGCAGCCGGAGTGGGGCAGAAGGGAGAGGAGAGGACACAAACAACCCTGCAGTTGTACAGACCTACTAGAAGGTAAATGGATTATGGAAGTTGGACAGATGCAGTGGAGTACCTTCGTAGGGCTGTTGCACAATATATAGAAACAAACAATGTGCATTAGCTGCAAGGTCACCTTGGAGAATAAAATGACTGCAAATCATTAATTCAATACCACCACCCCCCCCCCCCCCCCCCCATGCCTACAGAGCATTGTCTCACAACATGTCATGTGCCTGCAGATCATCACTTTACTGTTAGTCTTCAGTGACTGCAGGATAGAACTGCACTGCTGTCTGTGAACATCCCTGTCAGTTTCCAGCATGATTCTTCACATTGTAGCCATCTGATAATGCCTACCAAGCATCACAACACTATGATCTAGCCTAAAAAGTCACTGAAAACCATCATTTTACAAGAATTTAGAAGTATGCACAGCACTGACTAGCTATTATACCCTTTATAAAGCAAAATACCTGATTGAGAAGCTACCTGGCTCCTTGTCAGGTGATGTACGGAGAAGAAAATGTCTATGTGAGCCACACATCTTTGCAAACCCCAGGTAAGAAAGTTTAACGGCCTCAGCCTGGGCTCCAGCCAGGCCACTCCTCCAACGTGTTTCACATATGATCAATCTGGTAATGAAACACATTGTGGTCTTGGGACAAGCTCTGTCCTAGCCTGCACTCACAGTGGTTGGCTTTATTGATTGGGATCCTTACAGCCTGGATGCAACTGCTCGGCTATGGAAATCCATTCCATGAAGCTCACTACACACTGTTGTTATGCTAATCTGAAGGCCACATGAAGTTTAGAGGTCTTTAGCTATTCACTCTGCAGACAGTTGGGGACTTCTGTGTGCTTCAGCATGTGCTAACCCCGCTCTGTCATTTTACGTGGCCTACCACTTTGTGTACTGTTTAAATATCAGGTGTCTTAGTTTATAACATGAGTTTCTGTAATATTTCTGCTTGTCAGTAAAATAATGCTGTGTCAGTAGATTTTCCATGTTTTTTTCAGTAAAAAATTAACAGGGGGTTGGCAACCCTCATTTGCTTTTATTACAGAATGATGCAGTAATGGGACCCATGCCATTGCACCACTGGTTATATGTACAAATGTGGACAAATATGTTGGTAACCTTCCACAAAAAAGAACCACCACAATGTTTTCTAAAAGCCTTGAAACTGACTAAAAACAATTGGCATCCAACAGTGTTTATTTCATAGTTAATACAATAATTTATGATTTTTGAGTCAGCAGAATATTTAAAAAAAGAGAATATCATGGACAAAAACAATAGGACTCTTAAGAGGCAAGCACTGCAAACAAGTGATTTCTGTAGCTCTCAAAGTCTCTTCTGCACCTGACAACTGGTAGTTCGGTCCACTCTTCCTGAGTAAACTGCCTTCTGCAGACTGCATGCTTCAGCTTTTTCCATAGATGTTTGATAGAAGGCCACTTCAGAATAGTTCAATGTTTTTTTCTAGTTTTTCTTTTAACTATGTGGGACAAGCTTTATTATCCTCGTAACGGACCTGTCACCTGAAACTGAGACCAGAGTTTTCTGACACTAGGCATTACGTTTGTTTTTAGAATTCCTTGATAGTCTTGGGATTTCATTGTGCCCTGCATTGATTTCCAGGCACCTCATGCCCACATCCCCAAAACATAACTGAGTCTTCTCCATGTTTCACAGTACGTATTCATTTTTTTGTTTTGAAAGACTTATTTTTTTCATCTGTGAACAGAAAGCTGATGTGACTTGCCAAAAGCTCCAGTTTTATTTTGTCTGTTTACATTCTCCCAGAAGCGTTGTGGCTTGTTATTGTGCATTTTGGCAATTTTTAGTCTGGTTTTTCTATTCTGTTTTTCTGTCAATAGTGGAGTCGTCCTGGATCTTCTCTGTCTGCCTACTGTTACTGTAAAGCGATAGATGGTGCAATCAGACCCTGATGTACATTGACTCTGACGTTCACTTTGCACTTTCTTGGACGTTTTCCTTGCCTACACTCCCATTCAACTTAAAGGATAAGTTCACCTTTGGAACATGTTACATGTTCCACACGTTTTTAGGGTGGCACATTTTCTCATAGCCTTAGAAGTGCCCGACACTCCTCCTTCTGACAGACAATATGGGGATAAGTTTCCCCGTACTAGCATTCAGATTTGAAAACAGCATGGCCGTGCAGGGCACAGAGTTCTGTGAATGAGTGCCTACAAGTCCCGGCTGCCTTAGGGCTGTGGGCTTGTAGTTTTCAATGAACTACCACAGCGCTGTGGAGCCCCGTGATAGTTCATTCAAGCTTTCTCCCAAAATATCTGCTTGACCGTACATCCTGTACGGCTAGCAGATATTCTGACAGGTCTGCAGGAGACCTGCATGGCATCAGCGATTTACTGATCACTGGTGCAATGCTTTCCAGGCTCCTCTGGACAAAAATAATAAATGCACATTTTTTTACCTGCAAAAAAATATGCATTTATTATTTTTGTCCAAAAGGTGAACTTAACCTTTTAAACTTCTTATTAAGTGTTCTTGCATGGCAAGATCACTTACTGTTATCTCACATATATATTCTTATTATAGCCAAATTTACCACCCTAACTCCTCCCACAGTTTTTACACTACATAGACAGTAATGTACCAAAACGTGCGGATTGTTCCCGACTGGTGTGCTATGACTTTGTGGAACGTTTCGCTGAATGGTTCACAAAATATCTGTGTTTTTGTGGTGAAATTGGTCCCATAGGAATGAATGGTGGAATGTTCAAAACTAGAGTGGGAGCTGACAAGAGCTAGAGTGTGAGCTGAAAATCAGGACATGATTTCTAAACTGCCATCACTCCCTCATTTTCAAGCCCACCTACACAAATCTTAAATCAAAACGTTCAGCTATCCCTGCTGCCACTAAAAATGTCCACGGCTAAGCCATAGTCCTGATAGTTTTCACAATATGACTATTTATTTGTTTGCAACTCTCGCCGCCCATTCATTGAAACTGCACTCTAGCCACCCCAAATTTGAAGGGCAATTTCTAAACTGCGACTGTGCCTTCATTTTTAATATTTCAGAGACATACTATGCATCAAAATGTAGATCTGGGTCTTGTGATTCTCACAATATAAAGCTCTTCACTGTAGGATTTATAGTTTTTAAAACTACGACCATTTGAAGACGCCAGTGAAGTGAGCAATTTGGAGAAGTTTGTTTTTAACTGCTCTTCCCTGCCCTATTTTGAAATCTAATTTTGAATTCAGGACAGTTTGGCCGGCTTCTGGTTAAAGGTTTGGAAATAAGTTTTCTACAGTAGAGAGTATTTGAGGTGATAATGCTGCTAATGTTTTTATAAATGTATGTTTTAATGTAACTGTGAAGCACTTTTGGGCAACAACATTGCAATTAAATGTGCTATATAAATAATTAAAAGTTGAAATGCATTTCTCACTCTATCAAGCTTGCCATGTGCACTTTTTAAATTTGATCAATCAATTGGTTAGTGTAATGTTTACTATCTTTACTCACTCCAAACACTCCACACAGTTACTCTGCCCACTCCATAAAGTTACTCTGCCCAGTCCAACCTTTTCACAGTTACTCCAGCCACTCCAACCACACAACAGTTACTCAAGCCACTCCACCCAGTTACTACGCCCACTCCAGTTGTAGACTACTGGTGGAGGCAAGAACACTTCACACGTTTTCCACAGAAATTGTAGCTTTTCTAGTTAATATTTGGAACTGTATTCACAGGAATATCAAATGCTTGGAGATGGTCTTGTAGCCATTACCTTTTGACATTCTGGTCTATAGTTTTCTTTCGGATCTCCAAACAACAGAGTGACCACTTGTCTGCATTTAAATACAGTGCTCCGCATAAATGAGTACACCCCTTTTGAAAAGTAAGATTTTATTCAATATCTCAATGAACGCAAGAACAATTTCCAAACTTTTGGCAAAACTGAGTTTATCGAACATTTGTTTAGCTCATTACATGAAAAGAAGGTTAATAATATAACTTATATTACAAAATCTTCAGTTTCACTCAAATTAGTTGATGCAAAAATGAATACACCTCTCAACAAAAACTACTACATCTAGTATTTTGTATGACCTCCATAATTTGTAAGGACAGTACCAAGTCTTCTAGGCATGAAATGAACAAGTTGGTGACATATTGCAAGATCTATATTTTTCCATTCTTCAAGCACAACATGCCACCGCCATGTTTCACTGTAGGCACCATGCATTTTTATTTGTACTCCTCACCTTTGCGACACCATACAGTTTTGAAGCCATCAGTTCCAAAAACATTTATCTTGGTCTCATCACTCCAGAGTACAGAGTCCCAATAGTCTTATTCTTTTTCAGCATGGGCCCTGGCAAATTCTAGGTGGGCTTTTCTGTGCCAGGGCTTTAGAAGAGGCTTCCTTTGTGAACGACACCCATGCATGCCATTCCTCTGCAGTGTACGCCATATTGTGTCACGGGAAACAATCACCCCAGTTTAGCTTTCTGCTTCTTTAGATACCTGTAGTAAATGTTCATGGCTATTATCTTCAACCCTTCTCATCAGAAGACACTCCTGTTGAGGTGTTAACTTCCATGGACGGCCTGGACATCTCTGTGAGATGGTTGCAGTTTCCTCTTTGTTAAATTTTTGTATCACTTTTGTTACAGTATTCTGATTGATAAGTAAAGCTTTGCTTATTTTCTTGTAGCCTTCACCTTTCTTGTGTAAAGAAATGATTTTCTTTCTCAGGCCTTGTGACATTTCTCTTCCATGTAGTGCCATCGCTGACAGTATGAAATGGGGAGGGGTTTTCTATGTTAAGTAATGCAGTTTTATAATCAGCTGTCTGCTGCACACCTGTTTAATTAATAATTTGACTCACCTGTAGTTAAATTCTTGTTAATTAGGATTTTGACGTCTAAAATTTTAGCTTTGAATCTAAGACTTTCATTGGGGTGTATTCATTTTTGCAACATGGTCTTGAATTAATTTGTTAGGAAAAATACTTTGTGTGCACATTAACAAATCTTGTTTGCAATCAATGGCACACATTTGTGGGAGTATTTTCTGATACTATACCAAATCTAACTTTTTTTTTTCTGTGGGTCAAGGTTGATTGGGGTAGCTAGAGTATGACATTATATTGAATTTTCTGTTCTGTGGTTTGTTTTCATTAAGCATTAGTGCAGTTACCCAGACCAAAAGAACATTTTTCTTTCTCATACTGATGTAGAAAAAGACAATTTTCTATGTTGCCTGTAGCTACACCATGAACCTTTTTGCCCTAACATATGTGGTTTGCAGATGCCCGCTTACCCTAGAAAAAAAAACCTGACAAGTTGTTTGGTATATGCTTGCCATCTATGATTTTTACTATGTCATTACCTTTCCTGTTTGCAGCTTATAATTTTCAAGTTTTTTAAGCTAAACCTATTTTGGCATGTCTTACCAATTAGCCAATTTCAATTTATAAACCAAAAAAGTATAATACTTTATAAAATTACTTTTTTGCCTGTTTTGCAGTCAGGAAGTTAGTCAAAGAGCATAACTGTGTTTGAATATTTTTGTAATGTAAATTACGTGGAAAGTTGGTATTGACTTTATTTCTGTATGTTAATCTGATATTCACACAGTTGTATCTGAATTACCAATTATGTTGCTCAGAAAATATAAATTATGTGACTATGCTTTTTTTCTTTACCCATCAAGGTGGACATGAGCTTTCCCAGGTTATGACTTCCCAAGGTCTGGTATCTTCATCTAATGGACCACATGAGATCACGCTGACCATTAATAACTCCAGCTTAAGCCAGGTTTTAGCCCATGCTGCTGTCAACACTCCAACCACATCCTCAGTGTCCCCACAGGAGATCACCCTTACCATATCTGGTTAGTTGAAATCTTTTATGGACTGTGTTAAACACTGCTGCAGATCTGAGTCCAAATGTAATTTATTAATCTTTATTTTGGATTCATGACAATGTAAAAATTATAAACTAAAATTTGTAGTAAGAGATCTACTTTGTCTACTTTGAGTCATCCATTGGCTAAGTGGTTAGCCATTCTTCCTTATGACACTGTCTTGTCATCACTGTCTGCATGAAAAAAAATTAGTTTCTCTAGTGTTTGTGTGAGTGTCCTGTAGATACTGTATTTTATGCCATAATCCAAGTGGCATTCAACATAAACTGTCTTATAGGATGTCTTTGTTTTTTTTTTTAATGTTATGACTGTGGCATGAACATTTCGCAGGTGTTTTACCTATCAAACAAAGAATTTATAATCTTATAACCTAGACATCCTGTCAGATAGCAATGACAGGATGTGGCTTCCCAGCAACACACTGATTAAATCAATACTGTGCTTTCCTCTCCTAACAATCCGCTTCTGTGGTGCTGTTTTAAAGCCTTGTTGGCATGTAAGTTGGCAAAGTTCTACACTGTACTACCATTTATAATACATTTAAAGTGACCCTAAAGCTTCATTTTTGTTTTTCTAAAAATAACAAATATGGCTACACTTGCCTGCTCTGTGCAGTGGTTTTGCACGGAGCAGCCCTGATCCTCCCCTTTTTGGGTCCCTGCTGACGCCTCTGGCTCCCCCCCCCTTAAGCAGTGCCCCCAGGGAAAGCCTCTTGCCCTGGGGGCACCGCTGTGTGCTCATCACCGAGCTGCTGTTCTATATGTCCATAAGACACAAAGAGTTATTGCTCGGCCCCTCTCCCACTCTCTTCTCATTGGCTCACTGGCTGTGATTGACATCAGCGGGAGCCAATCCTGCTGCTATCTCAGCCAATGAGGAGGAAGAGTCCCCAGACAGCTGAGGCTGTCGTGAATGTGGATTGGAAGGGGCTCAGGTAAGGACTGGGGAGGGGGTTGTTGCGCACAGAAGGTTTTTTACCTTCATGCATAGAATACATGAAGGTGAAAAACTTTGAGCCTTTAGAACCGCTTTCAGGAATTTGTTAATGAATACATAACTTAGTAAATGGTGATATGTTACTGTAAATCCACCTAATGTGGACGTTACCTTTAATATTGCAGACTGGCATTGATTCCACTCTTGTTCACTCTGTAAAGTGCTACATGATGTTGGAGCACTATAAATGTGTGAAATAATTTGAATAATATGGATAAATAAAGCAGCTGTGGAAAAATCCAAGTCTGAATTTGAATGGAAATTAGCTGAAATATAGTGCTCTTAAGGCAATGATATCGGAATTCTCTTAATGGACTTTTGTTTTACATGGTTGGATTTATATAGAGTTGGTAAATACCATCTCTAGAAGTTTAATTTACTTGATTCATCACTTGCCATGATAGTTATTGAGTTAAATGTTTTATTTAGCTGTTATACTCCTATTGAAATTGAGCACATTTTCTGCATCAATGCATTTCAGTTGTTTCGCCAAGATAATTTTAATATTTTGTGTTTAGAGACCTCTATTATCCCATCAAGATTCCTGGCTGCACTATAATCATTTTAGCTCCTCCTGCAGCTTTGAGATCAGTTGACTTTACTTATGCCTTGGGGTATTACACCTGGACCCCAATAGATTGAAGAAGTAGGGCCAGCCTGTAATGTTGCTGGAATACATTGGATCCTTCTGTAGGCACTCCCATTGGCATGTACTGCAACACAGGAAGTTAGCTGCACGGTGTCTAAGAGGTCCAGGGCTGTGGTTTCACTGAAGCAAGTGCTGTCCCTGAAGATCCCTGCAGGGGTATGCCCATCGCGAAAGGGTAAAACCAGCATGGGGTTCATCCCCCTCGTAATTCTGACTGCAGAACTTCAGCAGTGATTGCAGGACAGAAGCCCATTAAAGATTAATGCCCAGGGTGCCATATTATCTCTAAAACCCCCTTTATGTTGTGTGGGATTGAAGCCAGGAGCTCTGGTTTACTGTTAAAATTGGCCCCATTTCCTTGAATTGGGTTCTTGATGCATTATTGGGGCCATAGATGGCATGGGTCACAAAAGTGTATCCCTTCCACTTCTCCTCGTGAATTGTTTTAAAAAGAGCTTGATGCATTCCTAAATCCCCAAAATATAACTGTATTAACATTTATGCCTCTTGCACACGGGAGTAAAAAATGTTCAGTTTTTTACTGATATGAAATGAGGTGCATTGTTGTGTATGGGACAATGCATGCAGCTGAGTAAAGATCAGTAATACAGTATTGAGTACAGAGCCGTAAAACAAAAATACAACATATTTCATTTGGGTGCAGTAATTTACTCTCATACCCATGTTTACCTGTGTATAAGCATGTTTACACAAGTATAAATGAGTATATTACAACACTAGCAATGAAAAATTTTACTTGTCTATACTCCGATTAATCAGATCTTTACACCTTTTTTATATTCTGGGACTTTCTGTCAACACGTTTCTGAGTAAACATCAGTAAATGATGACAGCTGTGTGCAGGGGGCCTAGGCTGTTTTGCCAGGTAATAAAAAAATTGCCTTCGGGGATCAGGAAGGATTTTTTTTTACCATTTGGAGCAAATAGGACCATGCTTTGTGTTTTTTTTTGTTTTTTTTTGTTTTTTTTTTTTTTTTTCACCTTACTCTGGATCAACTGTGAGTATGGGTTCTTTATATGGAAGTTTTATCTATTTGTTTATTTTTTTTTATTATTGGTTGAACTAGATGGACTTTTTTTTTTTTTTCAATGTGACTAACCATGCAATTATGACTTTGCCCTTGAGCCAGACATCTTACATGAAAAGGAAGCCGTAGCTCAGAATGATTCATCTCCTTCTGAGGAATCCGATCCTAATGATACACCCAGTGGTGTATTTTGGTTTTCTGCTGCCCTAGGCAACAGCAAAATCATCTGCCCTCACAGACACCAGCCAACACCCCTCCCTCTTTCCCCCCCTCCTGCAGAGAGAGCCAGACATTAACCAACAACACCCCTGCCCCCCCATATATAGATAGAAAGAGACTCATCTTGACAGCTCCGGACATCCCTGGGAACGAGAGTTAGGCTCTACTTCCACCATCAAGCAGCCTCTCTCAGATCCCACCTGGTTCCCATCACACGTGTCCCTTCTTCCATCTCTTCTTCTGAGGGGAGGTGCTGCCCCCCTGGAAAATGCCGCCCTAGGCAAGTGCCTTGTTTGCTTTGTGGTAAATACACCCATGGATACACCTATGGGAGAGATTTTATTCAACCTTAAGGATGCCTTAGCTATCATTGGTGCTGTATGCTCTTTCTTCGTGTTTAAAGCAGTCTGTGTCTGCTCACCCCGAAGGTATCCATCATGGGGTCCCTTAAATTTCCTAAACCAGCTAAGACTTTCCAAGTCCATTCACTGGTAGAGCCTGTCCTAAAGGGGGACTGGCATCACTCAGAGAATATTTTACTCCTCCAAAACATGTTGCTTAGCAGCAGCCTATTGAAGATGGCTTTCTGCAAAAGTGGGCAGTAACTGTGAGTAGATCCTACCATTTCATGTCTACCCTTCCCTCCGGGCCCGAGGCCCTTTACTCCTCTTGCAGGGCCCTTTATTATGGCCCCTCAGCGGGACCATGTTACATGTTCTGCAGCAGGCCCAGGGCTGCTACAGGGGTTTTTTTCTACACAGGTGAATGTTCAGTTTACAGTCTATCCTGGCACCCTAAGATGGTTGCCTAAGCAAACTTATACTGGCACTGACCCTGGGCCTCAATATATCAAGCATAATGTGCACCTACTGATTTGAAGGTTCCCCATTAGAAGTTCCTCTTGATTTCATCACGTCTCCCTCTCAGGACCCTCCCTCTGTTGTAGTGATTATTCCAGAATTCCCATCACACTTGCACTATTCCTCCATGAATCAGTGAGCCACACTTCATACACACCAAGCACATGTGGAACGCATGTCCATCTCATGCCTGCTGACACACATGGACAGTACCATAAATTAACCCTCAGCATACCACAGAACTATTACTAACCTATAGAATAAAATAATAAGCACAGGACTTTGGATCTAATAAAAAACACACCTATATTTATCATCCCAGCAATGTATATTGACATAATCTGGGAATGAAAGAGGTTTTCCAGCAGCATCAGGGTAGCCCCAGGACCTGGAGATGGCTGTGCAGAAGTGCAGAGAGTGTGATGGATGGAGGTGACACAGGTAATCGAAGGATGGTGCTAGGCAGTGTGGGCTTCTCCTCAGCAGTTCCTGGCAAACTTAGCCCCAGATAGCGGTCTCTACATATACACATAACAATAATCAGGAGACTGGGCATCCAAACATGGAAATGACCCAGCGCACGGGGCCTGCCTGATAACCCTGCCAGCCAATCTGTGACTAGAGCACTTCTGCAGGCAGAAATCACAGGCAGCTGCAATGGCACGCCTTCCTCTATACCTACAATGTTGTACAGTGTGAGGAAACTCAGTTTCAGTCCCGGTGTGAGAGCGGCTGTGTTGTGTGGCTATGCCCAGAATAAGCAACAATAAGCTGGACAGGGATTTCCTCACACAGTGCCTAGAAGAAGACTTTTTGCTGCAGGCCCCCATACAATGATGCAAGGGTTACCTTTTGCGACCCTGGTAGTTCTGCCACTGGTTGGATGCCCTTATTAATGCCCTTATTTCCTTAGCTGGTCGCATTATGCAACCTGCAGTTGCTTCAATGACAGTCTGCAAGACCATTGCTGTCTGAAATGAACATTTGACCCAGAAATCTAGGTCCATCTTAATGGATGCCTCAGTCCTTAGTTCTTCTCTCCATCCATATTAGCAGAAATCTTTGACTTAAAAGCTGGTCAGCTGAGCTCTCATGCAAAAATCAACTTGAGTGGTTAAACTTTGAAGGTTAGTGCCCTCCACCAGTAGGTTTTGTACATTCTCCTCTACCAGTAGATTTTTTACTCCTGAGGAT